AGACACAAAAACACACCCGTTACTCATTAAGAGAATAGAGACAAAACACACCCGTTACTCATTAAGAGAATAGACACAAAACACACCCGTTACTCATTAAGAGAATAGACACAAAACACACCCGTTACTCATTAAGAGAATAGAGACAAAACACACCCGTTACTCATTAAGAGAATAGACACAAAACACACCCGTTACTCATTAAGAGAATAGACACAAAACACACCCGTTACTCATTAAGAGAATAGACACAAAACACACCCGTTACTCATTAAGAGAATAGACACAAAACACACCCGTTACTCATTAAGAGAATAGACACAAAACACACCCGTTACTCATTAAGAGAATAGACACAAAACACACCGTTACTCATTAAGAGAATAGACACAAAACACACCCGTTACTCATTAAGAGAATAGACACAAAACACACCCGTTACTCATTAAGAGAATAGACACAAAACACACCCGTTACTCATTAAGAGAATAGACACAAAACACACCCGTTACTCATTAAGAGAATAGACACAAAACACACCCGTTACTCATTAAGAGAATAGAGACAAAACACACCCGTTACTCATTAAGAGAATAGACACAAAACACACCCGTTACTCATTAAGAGAATAGAGACAAAACACACCCGTTACTCATTAAGAGAATAGACACAAAACACACCCGTTACTCATTAAGAGAATAGACACAAAACACACCCGTTACTCATTAAGAGAATAGAGACAAAACACACCCGTTACTCATTAAGAGAATAGACACAAAACACACCCGTTACTCATTAAGAGAATAGACACAAAACACACCCGTTACTCATTAAGAGAATAGACACAAAACACACCCGTTACTCATTAAGAGAATAGACACAAAACACACCCGTTACTCATTAAGAGAATAGAGACAAAACACACCCGTTACTCATTAAGAGAATAGAGACAAAACACACCCGTTACTCATTAAGAGAATAGACACAAAACACACCCGTTACTCATTAAGAGAATAGACACAAAACACACCCGTTACTCATTAAGAGAATAGAGACAAAACACACACCCGTTACTCATTAAGAGAATAGACACAAAACACACCCGTTACTCATTAAGAGAATAGACACAAAACACACCCGTTACTCATTAAGAGAATAGAGACAAAACACACCCGTTACTCATTAAGAGAATAGACACAAAACACACCCGTTACTCATTAAGAGAATAGACACAAACACACCCGTTACTCATTAAGAGAATAGACAAAACACACCCGTTACTCATTAAGAGAATAGACACAAAACACACCTGTTACTCATTAAGAGAATAGAGACAAAACACACCCGTTACTCATTAAGAGAATAGACACAAAACACACCCGTTACTCATTAAGAGAATAGAGACAAAACACACCCGTTACTCATTAAGAGAATAGACACAAAACACACCCGTTACTCATTAAGAGAATAGAGACAAAACACACCCGTTACTCATTAAGAGAATAGACACAAAACACACCCGTTACTCATTAAGAGAATAGACACAAAACACACCTGTTACTCATTAAGAGAATAGAGACAAAACACACCTGTTACTCATTAAGAGAATAGACACAAAACACACCCGTTACTCATTAAGAGAATAGACACAAAACACACCCGTTACTCATTAAGAGAATAGACACAAAACACACCCGTTACTCATTAAGAGAATAGAGACAAAACACACCCGTTACTCATTAAGAGAATAGACACAAAACACACCCGTTACTCATTAAGAGAATAGACACAAAACACACCCGTTACTCATTAAGAGAATAGAGACAAAACACACCCGTTACTCATTAAGAGAATAGAGACAAAACACACCCGTTACTCATTAAGAGAATAGACACAAAACACACCTGTTACTCATTAAGAGAATAGAGACAAAACACACCCGTTACTCATTAAGAGAATAGACACAAAACACACCCGTTACTCATTAAGAGAATAGAGACAAAACACACCCGTTACTCATTAAGAGAATAGACACAAAACACACCCGTTACTCATTAAGAGAATAGAGACAAAACACACCCGTTACTCATTAAGAGAATAGACACAAAACACACCCGTTACTCATTAAGAGAATAGACACAAAACACACCTGTTACTCATTAAGAGAATAGAGACAAACACACCTGTTACTCATTAAGAGAATAGACACAAAACACACCCGTTACTCATTAAGAGAATAGACACAAAACACACCCGTTACTCATTAAGAGAATAGACACAAAACACACCCGTTACTCATTAAGAGAATAGAGACAAAACACACCCGTTACTCATTAAGAGAATAGACACAAAACACACCCGTTACTCATTAAGAGAATAGACACAAAACACACCCGTTACTCATTAAGAGAATAGAGACAAAACACACCCGTTACTCATTAAGAGAATAGAGACAAAACACACCCGTTACTCATTAAGAGAATAGAGACAAAACACACCCGTTACTCATTAAGAGAATAGAGACAAAACACACCCGTTACTCATTAAGAGAATAGAGACAAAACACACCCGTTACTCATTAAGAGAATAGAGACAAAACACACCCGTTACTCATTAAGAGAATAGACACAAAAACACACCCGTTACTCATTAAGAGAATAGAGACAAAACACACCCGTTACTCATTAAGAGAATAGACACAAAACACACCCGTTACTCATTAAGAGAATAGACACAAAACACACCCGTTACTCATTAAGAGAATAGACACAAAACACACCCGTTACTCATTAAGAGAATAGACACAAAACACACCCGTTACTCATTAAGAGAATAGACACAAAACACACCCGTTACTCATTAAGAGAATAGAGACAAAACACACCCGTTACTCATTAAGAGAATAGACACAAAACACACCCGTTACTCATTAAGAGAATAGACACAAAAACACACCCGTTACTCATTAAGAGAATAGAGACAAAACACACCCGTTACTCATTAAGAGAATAGACACAAAACACACCCGTTACTCATTAAGAGAATAGACACAAAACACACCCGTTACTCATTAAGAGAATAGAGACAAAACACACCCGTTACTCATTAAGAGAATAGACACAAAACACACATTACTCATTAAGAGAATAGACACAAACACACCCGTTACTCATTAAGAGAATAGAGACAAAACACACCCGTTACTCATTAAGAGAATAGACACAAAACACACCCGTTACTCATTAAGAGAATAGAGACAAAACACACCCGTTACTCATTAAGAGAATAGAGACAAAACACACCCGTTACTCATTAAGAGAATAGAGACAAAACACACCCGTTACTCATTAAGAGAATAGAGACAAAACACACCCGTTACTCATTAAGAGAATAGAGACAAAACACACCCGTTACTCATTAAGAGAATAGACACAAAACACACCCGTTACTCATTAAGAGAATAGAGACAAAAACACACCCGTTACTCATTAAGAGAATAGACACAAAACACACCGTTACTCATTAAGAGAATAGACACAAAACACACCCGTTACTCATTAAGAGAATAGAGACAAAACACACCCGTTACTCATTAAGAGAATAGAGACAAAACACACCCGTTACTCATTAAGAGAATAGACACAAAACACACCCCGTTACTCATTAAGAGAATAGACACAAAACACACATTACTCATTAAGAGAATAGAGACAAAACACACCCGTTACTCATTAAGAGAATAGAGACAAAACACACCCGTTACTCATTAAGAGAATAGAGACAAAACACACCCGTTACTCATTAAGAGAATAGAGACAAAACACACCCGTTACTCATTAAGAGAATAGACACAAAACACACCCGTTACTCATTAAGAGAATAGACACAAAACACACCCGTTACTCATTAAGAGAATAGACACAAAACACACCCGTTACTCATTAAGAGAATAGAGACAAAACACACCCGTTACTCATTAAGAGAATAGAGACAAAACACACCCGTTACTCATTAAGAGAATAGACACAAAACACACCCGTTACTCATTAAGAGAATAGACACAAAACACACCCGTTACTCATTAAGAGAATAGAGACAAAACACACCCGTTACTCATTAAGAGAATAGAACAAAACACACCCGTTACTCATTAAGAGAATAGACACAAAACACACCCGTTACTCATAAGAGAATAGAGACAACACACACCCGTTACTCATTAAGAGAATAGACACAAAACACACCCGTTACTCATTAAGAGAATAGACACAAAACACACCCGTTACTCATTAAGAGAATACGGACGACTCTTTAAGACCAGCACCGGGAGCGCCGACCATTTGTCCCGTCGTTAAACTGGCAACAGTGGATTCGGACGCCCTAAGTGCACTTGCTTTAGACATGAGCTTAGATCATTAAAATAGTGTTGAAAGCATCTTTCTGTCCAACAGGAGAAGAGGAACTTTGAGCCCAGAACGGCGTATGTGGTGGAGGGTCTGCGCGCAAACACCGAATACACCTTCTCTCTGGCCGCCGTTTCCAACAAAGGCATCGGAGCGTTCACCAACGAGATCAGCCAGCGCACGGCGCAAGCAAGTATGTGTGAGACCCTCCGTCCCTAAAGAGACGGAAGCGGAGTGATCCACTCATGTTAGATCACAGTTCTGACTGTGGATGATTGAGGTGAAGCACGTTAACCTGTTCCTTGCAGTGTGTGACCAAACCCGTCCGAGCCGGGACTCCAGAGCTGTGTTCAGAGGGTTCCTCTGGCTGGTGCAGAGCATCTTAGATCTGTGTTTGCTTGCTCAGTCGTCGTTTTCAGAGCGGAAGCGGAAACACAACTAATATCTGGCGGTGTAAACAAACTATGAGCTGCGGGGGAATTCAGTCGCGTGCTGAAACACACACACACACACACACACTCAGTAATGTGCAAATGTTTATGAATCTATCATTAGCTTCGTCATGTTTGCGCTGGACAGTTCCTGTGCAGAAACTCCTGGTGAAAGTGGATCGGTGGCTATTGAAAAAGATGTTTTTAGGCACAAACGGTTGAATTCCTCCTCAGTTCTGTTTATTCATCCTTCCCTCCGTCCCTCCATCCATCCATCCATCCATCTGTCATTGAGAAATGCATTGGTGTGTGTGTGTGTGTGTGTGATGTTTATGTCCACAAGTATTTCCAGGAGATTATTGAAAAACAAGCCAAAGCCACCAAACTGGACGGGATTTGTGTTTTTAATTTCTGCCTTTTTACCTCTTTCTTCTCTTCCTCCTTCAGTTCAGTGTCTTTTCAGCTCAAATGAAGTGCTAGTAACTATTGTGTGTGTGTGTGTGTGTGTGTTCGAGTGTGTGTTGATGAAGTGCTCCTCAGTAACGCTGGTGTTTTGCAGGATGGGTAACGGTAAGTGAGGATGATGGTCTGAGCATCTCAACAACCGTAAGACTCTTCATTATTCCACTAACCCGGATCTGTGGAAGGAACTGCAGCTGTTTTATTATTTATTATCCGAACACAGTTTGACATGCTGATGAACGGTATGAATATAAGCGTCTCGATCATCATCTGGTTCTGATGAGTCCGGCACAGACACACACACTCTCACACAGAACGCAACTACGCCTCCGCAGTTCTCTCTTACATGTCATATTCTATAAAGCTAATTGAATCCTTGCTTGTCAGATTAATGAGTGTGTTCCGGGAGTGTGTGAGAACAGAGGCTGGTCACGGGTCGGTGGAACCGAGAACCTTATGGTTTGATTGATTGTGAGAAAGTCTCGGATCTCTCGTTATTTTTAAGAACTCTCTCAGCTCTCGTTGCCGTTCAGCTGGAAAGGTTTCAGTCAATTACACCGACGGAGAGCAAAGCCTCGCATTAACCGCAGGATTAATGACAGATAACACCCACAATTCTATACGCTCGTATTCTACAGAGACTGAAGCTCAGAGAACTTGCTTAAGTGTGTGTGTGTGTGTGATCTACATACAGTCGAGTTGAGTGATATCTAGATTCTCAGACAGGTTTCTAGCGTTAGCTTCACGCGAGTGTAACCGGCAGAATGACTCTGGCTGAAGTTCGGCGGTTCTTGAAACCAGACTGTAACTGTCGTCAGGCAGACTCAGTTATTGATTTAGCCGATGGGTGTCTCCAAAGGAGGAACATGACAAGCAGTGTCGGATACACACGACGTTTATATCAGTTTGTTTTGCTCCTGCAGACACACAGCTCCTCCTCGGCTCACAGTTTAAGCTCATTTGTCATGTATGAGCAGAAGGAACATTACACTCCTCGATAACCCGATGGGTTTCAGTCTGTCACCATCTGGTCAGGAATCCTGATCCTGGACCGATGCGTCGCTCCATCCATCAATCCGTGTTTCCATGGCAACAGCGCTCCGCCACACACTCGGCGGTGCTGTAATTAGATTGCCTGTTCTGGTCAATATGTTGATCAGATGCTTGTCTTGAGAGATTCTGACAGACAGATGCTTTATTCCTCCATCACTGCATCACAACACATCTTTCATTTCATTTTGCCTCTTTCTTCCTTTGTTTGCATCATTTATCTTTTGAGTTGAATTTAATTTGAGCCTCATAATTTGTTTTATTGATCCGTACTATTTTTGTAGCCGCATCCTCTGCGTTTGTCTTTCTGTTGTATTGATTTATTTTTGCCTTATTTCTGTTGTTTTCTCCTCCTCCACATTCCTCAATTATCTTTCCTCTCTGTGTTGTATTTTCGACTCTTCCTCCTCCTCTCCTCTTCCTCATCTTCCTCATCTTCCTCCTCTCCTCCTCTTCCTCCTCCTCCTCTTCCTCCTCCTCTCCTCTTCCTCCCCCTCCTCTTCTGTTCCTCTTCCTCCTCTTCTCTTCCCTCTCTCCTCTTCCCCCTCTCCTCTTCCTCCTCTCCTCCTCTTCTTCCTCCTCCTCTTCTGTTTCTCCTCCTCCACCTCCCCTTCCTCCTGCTCCTCTTCCTTCTCCTCTTCCTCCTCATCTTCTCCTCTTCCTCCTCTTCCTCCTCATCTTCTCCTCTTCCTCCTCATCTTCTCCTCTTCCTCCCCTTCCTCCTCTCCTCTTCCTCTTCCTCCTCCTCTTCCTCTTTCTCCTCCTCTTCCTCCTCTTCTCCCCTTCCTCGTCCTCCTCTTCCTCCTCATCTTCCTCCTCCTCTTCTCCTCCTCCTCCTCCCCTTCCTCCTCTCCTCTTCCTCTTCCTCCTCCTCTTCTCCTACTCCTCTTCCTCCTCCTCTCCTCTTCCTCTTCCTCTTCCTCCTCCTCTTCTCCTACTCCTCTTCCTCCTCTCCTCTTCCTCTTCCTCTTCCTCCTCTTCCTCCTCCTCCTCTTCCTCCTCATTCTCCTCTTCTCCTCCTCCTCCCCTTCCTCCTCTCCTCTTCCTCTTCCTCCTCCTCCTCCTCTTCTTCCTCCTCCTCCTCTTCCTCTTCCTCCTCTCCTCTTCCTCTTCCTCCTCTTCTCCTACTCCTCTTCCTCCTCTCCTCCTCCTCCTCCTCCTCTCTTCCTCCTCTTCTCCTACTCCTCCTCCTCGTCCTTCTCTTCCTCCTCTTCCTCCTCCTCTTCTCCTACTCCTCCTCCTCTCCTCTTCCCCTTCCTCTTCTCCTCTTCCTCCTCTTCTCCTACTCCTCTTCCTCCTCCTCCTCCTCTTCCTCCTCATCTTCTCCTACTCCTCCTCCTCCTCCTCCCCTTCCTCCTCTCCTCTTCCTCCTCCTCTTCTCCTACTCCTCTTCCTCATCCTCCTCTTCCTCCTCCTCTTCTCCTCCTCCTCTTCCTCCTCTCCTCTTCCCCTTCCTCTTCTCCTCTTCCTCCTCTTCTCCTCCTCCTCTTCTCCTACTCCTCCTCCTCCTCCCCTTCCTCCTCTCCTCTTCCTCCTCCTCTTCTCCTCCTCCTCTTCCTCCTCCTCCTCTTCCTCTTCCTCTTCCTCCTCTCCTCTGCCTCTTCCTCCTCCTCTTTTCCTCCTCCTCCTCTTCCTCCTCCTCTTCTCCTACTCCTCCTCCTCTCCTCTTCCCCTTCCTCTTCTCCTCTTCCTCCTCTTCTCCTCCTCCTCTTCCTCCTCCTCCTCTTCCTCCTCATCTTCTCCTACTCCTCCTCCTCCTCCTCCCCTTCCTCCTCTCCTCTTCCTCCTCTTCTCCTACTCCTCTTCCTCCTCCTCCTCTTCCTCCTCCTCTTCTCCTCCTCCTCTTCCTCCTCTCCTCTTCCCCTTCCTCTTCTCCTCTTCCTCCTCTTCTCCTACTCCTCTTCCTCCTCCTCCTCCTCTTCTCCTACTCCTCCTCCTCCTCCCCTTCCTCCTCTCTTCTTCCTCCTCCTCTTCTCCTCCTCCTCTTCCTCCTCCTCCTCTTCCTCTTCCTCTTCCTCTTCCTCCTCTCCTCTGCCTCTTCCTCCTCCTCTTCTCCTCCTCCTCCTCTTCCTCCTCATCTTCCTCCTCCTCTCCTCCTCCGGTCAGAGCCCACGTCTCCTCCGGCTCAGGTCCGCTGCTCCTCCGTCAGCTCCTCCTCCCTGTCGGTGAGCTGGGCTCCGGCGCCGGAGGAGCAGCAGAACTCGCCGCTGCTCGGGTATGAGGTGTGTTATCAGCTCAGTGGCGGCGGAGACTTAGTGCAGACGCTGCGTCTGGAGCCGGACGCGGGACAGGCGCTCCTGAAGGGCCTGCGGCGATGGAGCTCATACCTCCTCACGGTGGCAGCGCTGACGGAGCAGGGCCTCGGACCCCAGAGCCCAGCCGTAGAGTGCAGAACCGATGAGGACGGTAAAATCAGTCAAACCTACAGCGCTTCATACAGTACAGATCGTGTCACAGTAATAAACAGGAGAATAACAGAATCAAACTTCATCAGATATGAGACGTTCAGATTCAGCAGTAAAGCATCTTTACAGAAGATCAAAGAGTCATTATTCTGATCAGTTATGAAACACTCATGTCTGCTGTGAAGGAGGTTCTTCAGCATTAGACCCCTCTTCTAATCTAGAGCTGATAGATTCTTCAGGTGCTTTTTTGTAGATCAATAAAGTTCAGTGTGTGCGTGTATCTGTGCATGTGTGTGTGTGTGTTCAGTGCCCGGAGCTCCACCCCGTCAGGTGGACGTCCAGCCGATAAACAGCACCTGTGTTAAAGTGTCGTGGCGCTCTGTGTTGCCGGGGCAACGGAACGGGCAGATCCGCGGTTACCAGGTTCATTACGCGCGTGTGGAGAACGGGGAGTCACACGGCCTGCCGCGCATCAGAGACATGATGCTGGACGACACCCAGGTGAGGTCGCGACCCCGGCACACCCTCAAACTGATTTACATAATCTGCCAATAATTCTTATCCAGCTGATTTTGCAGCATAGAAGAAAGTGAACGTACACAACAGTGAAGCAGAATAATAATTTTTCAACTGAATTTACAAATGGCCACATTCACTCTTATGATATATTGCTGTTAGGTGTGCTTTTGTAGTTTTTGGATCTTTATTCATTCATGTTTAATTTTTCATTCTATGTCTTGTTTCAGTCAGAAAGGATCATGTGACTGAAGGGAAATGTGTTTTGGATGCATGTGGCCATCAGCCTTACATAACACTTCAGTTCAGCCTTTGGATCATCATGATATTGCCTAAAACTAAGACAAAAATAAAGTAACAAATTGTTGAAAGCTAGCAGGCAGTATTGATTATGTTAGTATGGATTAATTATGTTAGTATGGATTGATTATGTTAGTATGGATTGATTATGTTAATGTGGATTGATTATGTTAGGATGGATTGATTATGTTAGTATGGATTGATTGTTAATGTGGATTGATTATGTTAGTATGGATTTATTATGTTAGTATGGATTGAGTATGTTAGTATGGATTGAGTATGTTAGTATGGATAGAGTATGTTAGTATGGATAGAGTATGTTAGTATGGATTGAGTATGTTAGTATGGATTGATTATGTTAGTATGCATTGAGTATGTTAGTATGGATTGATTATGTTAGTATTGATTGAGTATGTTAGTATGGATTGAGTAT